AAAGGAAGGGAGAAAGTGTGAGGTAGAAAGTAGGCCACGGGTAGTGGGAGGTGAGCTCAGCTAGGGGAGCTGGGAGTTCCGTCACACGAGCCAAACGCCGAGCCTCGAATGACAAAATATCAAATCGGCAGGTAGGTAGTGAGCTGGTGGAGGCTCCCCAGATGAGTGAAGAGAAAAGGTGAGCTCTGGAAACCTGTACCTGGCAAAAGAACTAATGGGAATAAATCAGGGAAGGGGCAGGACAGCCCCAGCGGAACGAACAGCAATCGTTGACATTACTGAGGGCGTGCTATGTACCAACCCCGCTAACGTGTATGATCTCATTTAATGCTCACCACGACTCCCTAAGGTACTCTTACCATCCCACTTCACAGAGAAGGGAATGAAGGCACAGAGAGGTTCAGGAGTGCGCCCCAGACCACACGGCCAGGCAGCCATGGGGCAGAGATCTGCAGCAGCTGGTCTGACCCCAGAGCCCAGCACACTTGCCCACCAGCTCAGCCTGCCCTGGGCCCTATACTTGGATTTCTGAGCTGAGAAGCAGGGAAAATGAAGAGCAGCCAAAGGATACAAGGGACACTAAAGAGGGGACAGTTCTGTAAACCACAAACTGAGGTGAAGGATTGACTGGAAAAAGTTTGAAGTAAGGTTCCTTGGGGTTAGCTGCACATGAAGTCAGCAAAACCAACCAACTCAGGTTCGCTCAAGAGCATACATCAAATCCTGCGGCCAATGATCCTACACTAAGACCAGCTGCTTCCAGAAACTGTTGCAGCCTACTTGCTAAGCGAGCTGAACACCCCAAGAGTTGCCAGGAAAAGGGGCAGGAGTGTGTAATGGATTGACATGTGTCCCTCAAAATTCACATGTTGAAGCCATAACCCTCAGTACCTAAGAATGTGATTTTATTTGGAAATTAGGTCACTGCAGATGTAATTAAGATGAGTAGGGCGGGCCCTAATTCAGGATGACTGGTGTCCTAACAAAATGGGAAATCTGGATACAGATGAGCACACAGGGAGAATGTCTTGTGAAGAAGGCAGAGACTGGGGTGACACAGTGGAAACCAAGGGTCGCCTCTTGATCTTGGGGCTGTGAGTTCAAGGCCCATGGGTGTGGAGATTACTTAAAACTAAAATGGGGGAGGGAGGGAGGGAGGGACCAAGGGTCGCCAAAGATTGCCAGCAAACTACCAGAAGTTAGGAGAGAGGCCTGGACTGCCTCAGAAGGAACCACAACTTGATTTCCAACTTTTCACTCCAGAACTGGAGACGGTAAGGTTCTGCTGTTCAAGCCACCCAGTTACTGCAGCCCCAGGACACTCATATGTGACCTATGCCATCCTTCCCCATAAGACCACAGGTGAATTTTTACCGAGTCTTTTAGCAAAGAGCCTTCTCTGAAGCTTTGTTATACTGGGTTGTACGATGGTCTAAAACTCTATCTGTATCACAGTTGTGAGTTAAAAACAAGTGTTTGAAATTTTGTCTATCTCCAATTGCCCAGGCACCAGGGATTAACTCTGCTTTTGAAATGAAGAACAAATTTTACTCTAATAATCAAGGAGCTTCCTCATCTTCTTTACTCTTAGAAGGGAGTACTGATTGTTTTATCAGATTCTTCCAGTGACCTGAAGACACCCCGTCCAGCCCACGAGGTCCTGCCGGGGTCTCACCCAGTGCACAGTCCTGGTTCTGGGGCTTAAACCATTATCAAAAGGATAGCAAGCGGGGCGCCTGGGTGGCTCAGTGGGTTAAGAGTCTGCCTTGGACTCAGGTCATGATCCCAGGGTCCAGGGATTGAGACCCGCACCTGGCTCCCTGCTCAGCGAGCCTGCTTCTCCCTCTCCCTCTGCTCTCCCTTTGTCAAATAAATAAAATCTTAAAAAAAAAAAAAAAAAAAAAAAAAAGAGGACTACAAGCTTCTCCTCTTCAACATGGAGACAAGCTCTCTCAAATACTGGGGCTGGCTCCAGGCAGTCACCCCTCTTCAAATATGCTCACACATTCAAATCTGCAAGAACCATTCAAGTCCCGGTTTAACCCAGGCACTACTTTGAAAACATGTGCTACATCCGGTTGTGAGAGAATGCCCATGGTTTTGAAGGGAAGCAGGTCTGCCCCGGGGAATTCCGGATACTGTTTTCAGATAATGATCACCCCCACTAAAAAGTGAAACCAAAGCGGTACCTCTTTTGATACCTGGAAAACCCCCCAATCCAACACATTTTTGCAAATGGACAAAAATTATGGAAAATTATCTTATACAACCAGAATCTCGTACAACTCAAATATAAGCCACTGGAATTACCTATTTAAAAACAAACACCATAAACCCCTGATTTTCCCATAGGACCAAGCTTTCCCTCTTTTCAAAGATACCAGTAGCTAACTTTTATCAAGTGCTTAAGATGGGACCCTGCACATGTCTGAGCCTCTGATGTGGAATGAACGAAGGCCCACAATCCCCTGGGCGGGGGAGGTACCTCGATGAGAGTACCTTCATGATTCCCACTGCGCCGGTCAGGAAACTGAAGCGGAGACAAGTGAGGAAACTGGCCCAAGGTCACACATCGGTAAGTAGTAGAGCTGAGATTCAAAACCAGGCGGTCTGGCTGCAACACACCACACCCCCTGAGCAAGCAAACAACCTGGGCAGCCTCATCAACAAGATAAAGGCGCGAAGAGTGAGTGGGGGCAGGTTAAGGAGGGCAGCGGGAGATCGGAGGCGAACAATCACATTCCAGGCACTGAGCTGGCACTTCATGTATGCTTTTCCATTTAATTCGCTCGAACCTTAAAATAAGCATCACCTGACAGTAGTAAGTGATAGCCCTGAACCCAGGTCTGCTGACTGCAAACCCCGGTGCCAATGTCCCCCCAATCAAGGTTTCAGATTGTAAACTCGGAATTGATGGATGGTGTAATCGGCTTGTAAAAGTCAGTCCAGCATCAGAGCAGTGGTGCTGAGGCCCGGGAGGGGAGGCGGGGGCATCACCCCACACAGCTGTATGCTGGGTACAGCACAGGTGCTTAATTAACGTGCTAATACGGGAGTCAGGAAGCTCAGGTTCTGTTACCAATCTATACGAACTTACTACCAGATAGAAGCGCCTTGGCTTTTTTTTTTTTTGCTTCTGTTTTTTAAAAGGCGTTACCAATAAAGGTGAAAACTGTAAGGTGTTCCACAGCGGATCATGGCCAGGACAAACCTAACCAGGGCACCCCAGCAGCTACCACGATCCGGCAGGTCCACGCATGCCGGCTGCGCAAGGCAATGCCAGGAGATTGGCCCGTATAAACTTCATCCTCCCCCCCACCCCAGGAAAGTGGGGCTCATGGAGCTGTGGTCAGTCCTTGGCCCCCAGAGCTTCCCCCTAAGCAGATTTGCCAGCCCAAAAAGGAAGTAATGCTGAGAAGGGGAAGGAAGTCCTCCCAGAGTGAACAGCTTCACCTCCCTGCAGGCCCTGGTATGCTTTGCAAGGTGGGTGGCATCTGCCACAGCACAGGGCACTGGGTTTCTCACACACACACACACACACACACACACACACACACACCCCAGTTACAAAATCAGGAAAGGCTGGAGTGCAGCACGCACCGCTCCTTAGGACACAGAGGATTCAGGTGAAGGTCGAGACCGGATGAGAGAGCAGGAAGAACCTTCTACTTTTTGTTTTGGACAGAAGCCCACCAAGACTCAGTCCCCCCTCCCCCCATTAGTTCCTGCCTCAGGAAGAGGAAGGAATCGGATCTGCATAACAGTGAATCACAGGCACTTCAGCACAATGACCCCTCCGGGAGAGGGTGGAGAAGCTCGTCTGGCAACCGCCTACACTAACAGGGCAATTCTGAAGGGCGGCAAACAAACCTGTCTAGCCCTAGTTCCCACTTTGCATAAGATTGCACTCCGCGAAAACAACATCCAAGGAACACCTGTTGATCGATACCGACTGCTAACACTAAGGTTTGGGCCACGAGATAATTAAAAAGGCCCCGTTGAAGGCACCCTGGGTAATTGGTAATAAGTGTCTTTAGACTCCAGGAGCCCGTGGGAGCACCAGACACTCCATCAGTCCATCGCATCGTAGTGAACTTTGTTTCAGAAGGATGTTAAACAGAAGGATTTGAAATCATAAACCAAAGGGCACTTGTTAAGTCACTAGGTGACTGTCAGGGTACCTGCTTTCTTCATGCTCCTAAGAAGTTACACATGGGGTGCCTGAATGGCTCAGTCGGTTAAATGACTGACTTCAGCTCAGGTCATGGTGTTAGGGACCTGGGACCCTGCCAAGGTCGGGCTCCGTTCTCAGCAGGACTCTACTTGTCTCTCTCCCTATCCCTCTGCCCCTCCTTCCTGCTCGTGCTCTCTCTCTCTCAAAAAAAAAAAAAAAAAAAAAAAAAAAAGTTACACATGCTCCAGAAGGGAGGAGGATCATTAGGCGCCGGGGATGGTTAGGTCACAGCAGCACTGTCTGCCAGCTGGCCACGGTTCCTTAATCAAGGGTAAATAGCTAAAAAAGAAATGCAACTGGGTTAAAACCTGAGCAGGGGCCATCACGTTAGACCGGGAGCATGGATTCTTAAAAGAAACGCGTCCTTCCGGTGGCAAAGGCCCCTTTTGGATCCGCTGGTTCCAGAAAAAGACATCTCCGTGTACTTGAGGTACTGAACGAAGACCGTAGGCAAGAAAATGACCAGCATGCCTTCTCCCCTCCGCAGGCCCGAACTACTCCTGACGACCACCGAACATAGGAAAGGTGTCCTCTACAACCAAACGGATGGTCTCGCCTACTTTTTCTCAAACACCTAAAAGCCGTAGCGACCGCCCTAACTTTCGTTTGGATTCACAAAAAGGGGAGGCAAGGGTGGTCTCCAAACTGCAACCACCCAGGGGAAGAGGGTGGAAGCAGAGCGGGTGGACTCCGTGGGTCCGTCACAAGCCTGCAGGGCTCCTGGCCAGCTACCCCAGCACTGCGCTCGCTCCCCTTCTCCGGTTACCTGGTTCGCGCGGCCGCCGGCGTCCAGCACCTGAGCCGTCGGTTCTGCCGGTGCCTTCTCCTCTTCCCCGGCGGCCGAGGGGCTACTTGCAACCGCTCGGGGGTCCCCGCCATCCCCCGGTGCAGCCTGGCTGCTGTCTTCCAAGCTAGCGCCGACTCCTTCCGCGGAAGAGGCGGCGGCGCCGAGCAACCCGTGGGCCCCGTCGGCGTCCCCGGCCGCTACGCTGTGCACCAGCCACGCATCCACTCGGGTGCGGGGGATGAAAGGGACCCCCAGCGCGCGCACCTCCCGAAGCAGCCGGCCCTCGGGATCCGCCGCTGGGTCCGGCTCCCGGCCTTTGGGGTGCAGCTGCTCCGCGCGCCCCCACCCTCCCGAGGCTGGGAAGGGGCTGAGCGCGTAGGCGGAGCTCGTCGGGCCTCTGGCCAGCAGCAGCTCATCCCAGAGCAGGGTGGGCGGCGGGAGAAGCAGGTAGAGGTCCAGGTCCAAGTCCAGGTCCAGGCGGAGCCCCGCCAAGCTCAGCAGGATGGTGAGGTGCAGGAGGCCGCCGCCGTCCGACCACCAAGGCTTCAGGTACTTCATCTCGCGCCGCGCGCCTGGGACGCCCCTGCCGGCGCCCGTGGGTCCCTGCTCTCCTGCCGACGCTTTGGCACGTGCGAGCGCCGCAGGCACCTGCCCGGAAGAGAGAAAAGCGAAACAATGGACCGGGGTGCGTAGCAGCCGTCGCGGGCTCTCGGGGCCGAGCACAGGGGCGCTCCCTCGGCAGCCCGCACGGCGCTGGGGGCGGGGGGTCACGAGAGGCGGGAGAGAAGCCACCTGCAAGAAGAGTCGATCTCCCCGGCCGCCCGGCAGCAGAGCGACGCGACCAACCTCCGCCTCCCAGCTAGGCCCCGCCCCGAGCCGCGGGCGCAGCCGCCGGGGACACGCCCACAGCCGCCCCCGGGCTTGCGCCCGTAGGAGGGGCCCGCAGGGGGCGGGGCTTCCCAGCTAAAGCGCTCTTTATTCGGGAAAACACAAAGCTTTCTGGGGGAAGAGAGTGTTGGGGCCCGAGATGGTCCGAATTCAGTTCTTGTGGGCGGGGCGGCTGTAGCTGAATATGCTGGGTGGGATAGGGGGTCAGGAGTAAAGGTGGGTGGGAAGGGACAGGATGTGTAGACTGGGGGAAAAGTAGAGACACTGGGCGGCATGCAAAGGACTACCGCTCACGTGAGAACACTGGCACGTGAGCTCAGTTGTCCGACCCTTGGTTTCATATCCCAGCCCCCTGATCAGCCAGTCGTGTGACCTTGAGTAGGTTACTTAACTTCTCTGTACCTCAGTTCTCTTATCTGTAAAATGGGGATAATAGTACCTGTGCAATAGGGATGTGGTTAAGTCAGGTGAAATATTCTATGTAAAGCCCAGAGTTTGACATACAGATTCCACAGCTGCCTTTGAGATCAAACAGCACTCCACCTAAACCCTAGTTCCCACCCACACCTCCCACCTCACCTCTCCAGGTCCCGTGCTCCAGCATCACAACCCCTCACTGTCCCCTGGGCCCTCCCTGCACACTGCTAGACCTTCCCTTCTGGTCTCCTTTGCTTGTTAAGGGCTGAGAGCACCATCTCTAGAGTTAGCCTGTATGAGTTCAAATCCTCCACTCCCCCTCTTACTAGCCCCGACCTTGGATAAATTACTCTGTGCCTCAGTTTCCTCCTGTAAAGAGGGACTGATAATACACATTCCCCAGCAGGCCTGTTGTGAACTCCAAATGAGATGCATCTAAACCACCAACCACAGCACTTGGTATAGGAAGTCTTTTTTAAGTATTGCTCATTATTTATGTTACCCATCCTCCAAGGCTTAACCCCAAAGATATATCCTCTGAGTTTACACCATTTGGAATTAATCTCTTCCCCCATATGTTCTCCCACAGCGCTTTCTCCATTCGCCAACATTACAACACTTGGCACATTGCACTTTGTATTGTAGCTGAATATTGGTTTCATTCGCCCATTGTAAATTCTTGAGGACAAAAAACAAAAACAAAAACAAACCTGTCTGGCTCACTTCTTTGCCCACACGGTACTCAGCCCTCGGCCTTGCAAATGTAGCTTTTACTAACCCTCACTCCTTTCCTAGGACGGGGGAGGGAGGAGGAGGAGATGAGCAACTGAGGGTTAGCAGTTGTGTAAGGAGTTAAGCAAGAAAGACTTGTTTTTTTTTTTTAATTATTTTTTAAAATCTTATTTATTTATTTGACAGAGATCACAAGTAGGCGCGGGGAGGGGGGGGCAGGGGAAGCAGGCTCCCTGCCGAGCAGAGAGCCCAATGTGGGGCTCCATCCCAGGACCCTGAGATCATGACCTGAGCTGAAGGCAGAGGCTTAACCCACTGAGCCACCCAGGTGCCCCAAGAAAGACTTGTTTTTAAAGGTCCCTTTCTCTACCTAGTTCTCTCTTCTGGGTCTAAGTATGAAAAGTTCACACTAGATTTCATTTTTCCCACTGGGAGCTAGGGGGACAGAAGCAGACTTCTTAAAGCTGCTTCTCTTTAAGCCCTGAAGGATGGGTTAGGGGGTGGCAAAAAGGCTAGAGGAGAGATGCTTGCCAGGCTAGTGAGGTTTGGGACTGAAGCCTTGTTCACGGCACTTGGTCCCTGGACATGGGATTCATGTTCTGGATTCAGTTCATGTCCACTGAACTCAGGTTTTTAACTGAATGTCTACTACACCACCGGCCGCTGTGTTGAAGACTGAAGAACATGAAATTCTTGGCGGGTTTATGATTTCATTATGGAGATTAGATAGAGGTGTTTGAAACACTCAGAAACTAGAAAAAGAATGTACTCATGTGCCAAAATATTGACATGTACATGACAATAAAGGAAGTGCTGTAAACCAGGTGAGAACAGGGATGGTGTTTTCTTCAGGGTCAGAGCTTCCAGAATCTTGCACACAGAGTTGGTGCTCAAAATTTTATTTTTTCAGTTGAATTGAGGAATTTAGATTGGAGAAGTGTTTTGAGGGATCTGAATAGTAGACTAGCATCGGGAAAAGCATTCAAACTTCCTGTGTAACAATCATTGGGAAGGGGGTTGACCCCTCATCTTTTTTTTTTTTTTTTTTTAGATTTATTTATTTGACAGATCACAAGTAGGCAGAGAGGCAGGTTGGGGTGGGGGGAAACAGGCTTCCTGCTGAGCAGAGAGCCCGACTCGGGGCTCAATCCCAGGACCGTGGCATCATGACCTGAGCCGAAGGCAAAGGCTTTAACCCACTGAGCCACCCAGGTGCCCCTCCCCTCTCATCTTTAAAAATGTGCTTAGATAATCATATTTATCAGACTGCTTCATTCAAAAGTGTCTTAATTCTAGCTTACAGACTGGTGAAGAGGGGAACACATAAAGGACCCTGCAGTAAAATCTTAAACAGGAGACTCAGAATCAATCCCACACGCTCTTGACTTTAATCACAAGAGGTCCCAATTTTAGGTTTGCAGGGAGTAGTGCAATTAGAAGGAATGACTTCTACTTCGGTTCTTTAAAATTTCTAAAATCCCTCCATCCAGGAATAGCCAAATGAAAAGTGCAAACCATTATCTTGTAAAAGCCTTGAAAAGTCACCTATGTTTGTTAAAGTCCTTAAATCAGTGTTAGTCAAGGGATGGTCCAAGACTGGTCCAAGACTTTCTGGCTCAGATGAGGTTGGTAATTGACTTGAGAGAGTTTAGACATTTTTACAGCAATTTGACATTGTGTGACATCCAACACATGATCAGTGGGTTTCCCTTTTTATGCCCTTGTCTTTAGAAATGAATTTTTATATTACAAAAGCACTGACCTATGACAGACTGGGGAAAAAAAGAAAGCTGGTCCTTCACCGGGATTAGTTGGCAAAGCGTTGCCTTCAGTGGCATTCCTGTGAGATAGGCAGGTTCTAAGATGACTCCCAGTGCTTCCCAACCCCTGAGTGTGGGACGAACCTAGTGATTTACTTCCAACAAATAGAATATGGCAAAAGTGATGGGATGCCATCCTCAAGGTTAGGTTACAAAATGACTCAGTGGCTTCTTGCTTGCTTGCTTAGTCTGTTCTGGTGGCTATAACAAAATGCCATAGGACTGGGTGGCTCATAAACAGCAGGAATCTATTGTTTTGGAGGCTGGAAATCCAAGATCAAGGTGCCAGCCTGGGCAGGTTTTAGTGAGAACTCTCTTCCAGGTTGTAAGCTGCTCACTTCTTGTTGTATCCCCACATGGTGGAAGGGACAAGGGAGCTTGCCCAGTGACTTTTATAAGGGCACTAATCTCATTCATGATAGTTCCACCCTCATGACCTAACCACCTCCCGGAGGCCCTACCTAATAATATCATCTTGGAGGTTAGATTTCAACACATAAGTTTTGGGGGCACACAAAAAATCCAACCACAGCACTTTCCTCCTCTCTCCATCTCTTACTCTGTTCTTCTTGGAGAGAGCCGCCATGTTGTACGTAATCTTGAGTAGAAGCTCAGGTGGTGAGACACTAGCATCTTCAGCCAAGTGAGAACCTGAGGCCTGCCAATGCCACTCGAGTGAGCTCTGAAGCAGATTTTTCCCCGCTTGAGATCTGAGATGACTGTAGCCCTCTCTGGTGCCTCCATTGTACCTTGTGACAGACCCTCAAACCATAGGACAAAATTAGATGGCACATGGATACCTGACCCAAAAAGAACTTGAAGATAATGTTCTTTCAAAAGGCATCTGGGTGGCTCAGGTGGTTAAGTGTCTGCCTTCGGCTCCTGTCATGATCTCAGGGTCCTGGGATCAAGCCCTGCATCAGGCTCTCCACGCAGCAATGAGTCTGCTTCTCCCTCTCCCTCTGTAATCTCTCTCGCTTTCTCTCTCTCTCAAATAAATAAGTAAAATCTTTAAAGAAAATAAATATTCTTTCAAGCCACTAAGTCTTGGGATAACTTGTTATACAGCCTCCATAATTAACACATCCTGTGGGTTAAGGAGATAGTCAATGAATATTTTATAACTACGAAGTAACATTGCAGTAGTACATGCTGGTCCTGAGACACAATAATCTAGTTTACCCCAATTTAAAATGTAAGATTGTAGCTTGGCATGAAAGATAGTTACCACGAAAACACAGCCATCAACAGCTGCCGTGAATTGAGCACCAGGGCCGCCTTCTGCATCAATTTCTTATACATATCGATCCAAAACCAGCAAAGAAGAAAACAGGTTAGAACTTTGGCATCCTTCTTTTGAAAGTTTCTGCTAATGTTAGCCACAGGAAATTTTGAATTTGTAGTAGATATTACAGAATTGAGCAAAAGAGCCTATTCAAATTCCAAGATACGAATTGAGATAGAAGTCATTTTATCTAGGAGGAAGAATTCAGCATAGCTAGTTTCCAACCAGGCATAATCACTAGAATTTAAATGACTCTGCAATTGTTGAGACATTTTGCCAAAGGCTTTTGTGAAACAGATTTATAAATGGCCTCATTTGCTGTCTAGTACCCGCCTTCGTGATGATGAATCAGCTGATACCTAATCAAGAGGAAGAGTTTGTCTTCTTTCTCTCGTTAGTCCAGAATCTTCTGAAAGTTTGACTATGGAGCTGTTTTGAATGTTGTGATGATGATGACCGACCTCAATGCGCTCACATGCAGCATTCATAGTAGAAGCTGCGAGGTGCTGATCCCCACTATGTACTAAGACCTTCTCATGTGCGATGACATACTCAGAATGCAAACCCACAATCTCTCCACTTTTCACTGCAATCCACACCTCCTCTGGGCTGTTTGGCTGGTTTCTTCATC